CTGCAGCCTCAAATAGTGATCTTGACTTAAGTTTATTACCTAGGTGGCAATTCATTAGTTTAAATTTTCTCCAGTGGAATTTGTTATAGATCCTCAGACTGCCTACTCCATATAAAACTCTAACTTACTTTCTTCCTGGTCTAAGACTTCTTTTTGTCCAAGAGTAAAAGTCATAGGGAAATCATTAGTGGAACCAGCTGTATCTAGCTTATTTCAGCTCTAGTACCTAAGGGATTCATCAGAAGTCTATTTCATTCCTAAAAGTTATTTTATAGTTAAAAACTCCTGCATCCCTTCCTATGGTACTGGGGATTGAACACAGGGGTTCTCTGCCACTAAACTAACACCCCCAGCCCTTTTTATTTATTTTTAAAATTTTGAGACAGTGTCTCACTGAGTTGCTGAGGCTGGCCTCAAACTTGTGATCCTCCTGCCTCAGGCTCCCAAGTCTCTGGGATTATAAGCATGTGCCACCACACCTGGCTAATAAAAGCTTTTTTTTCCCCCCTTTTTAAATGTATATGTTTGCTCTGCTTCCTAGCTGTCATGAACAGCCTTCCTCTGACACACCTTTCCATCACGCCTCATCCCTGTCCCAGAGCAGTGGAGTTGGCCAACCATGGACTGAACCTCTGAAACTGGTGCTTTTTAAAATGCCAGGTCATAGTGAAAAAGACAGTGAGGAAATCAAAAGAAAGAAAACAGAAAAGAAGGAAAATAAAACCAGCATTTGTTGAATCTGTACACAAGAAATGTATCTTGCAATTTTGCAGTTTGTAGAGTTGAAAATTCATCTCAGCTCAAGTGCATCTAGTGGTCATCACAAGTACAAAACAACCACTTGTACTGTCCATGAGATTAAAAAAAAAATAGCTACTCAAAAGTATAACTATTCCTAGGACTGAGAAAAAATTTATCTGCAGCCCACATGAAGAAGTCACAGTAATATAGAGTAGAATAAAAAAAGAACTCTAAAAATAAATTCACAAAGTTTTTCATTTTTTTAGTTGTAGGTGGACACAATACCTTTATTTTATTTTGTTGTTGTTGTTGTGCTAAGGATCGAACCCAGTGCCTCACGCATGCTACGTGATCACTCTACCCCTGAGTGACAACCCCAGCCCAAATTCACAAAGTTTTATAGGAAAAAAATTATATTTTCCTGACAATGTTTCATTAAATGATGCAATCGTCAGTTTTAATTTCTTATACTGAATAAAAGGGGATATATGAAGTCAGTATATCGAATTCCTGGTCATCATTTAAAACTTTTAGGACTCTGGCATGGTAGTGTGTTGCATAGAGTCCCAGCTACTCTGGAGGCTGAAGCAGGGATCGCCTGAGCCCAGGAGTTTGAAACCAGCCCAGGCAGCATAGGGAGACCCTGTATAAAATGAAATGGACCAAATGGGTGCTGGGGCTCATACCTATAATCCCGGTGACTTGGGAGGCTACAGCTCTAGCTTTGCTAGTTTGAGGCCAGCCTCAGTAACTTAGCTAGACCTTCAACAATTTAATGAGACCCTGTCTCAAAAGAAAAAAAAGGGGTGGGGGGGAGGCTGGGGATGGTACTCACAGATAAAGATCCTCTGTACCAAATCCCCAGGACCAAAAATAAAAATAAGGGCTAGGGATGCGGTTTATTGGTAGAGTACTTGGCTACCATGTGTGAGCCCCTGGTAGGAGGGGGGCTGCAATAAATAAGTAAATAACTGCTTTTTAGTTACAGAAGTTTCATTTGGTTCTTTTCCTTTATGTTACTTTTTATAGTTTCTTATTTTCTCTCTACATTGTATTAGGTGATACAATGTATATTTATTTTTGCATTGTATTAAGGATCAAACCCAGGGCCTTGTGCCTGCTTGGGAAGTGCTGAATCACATCTCAGCCTTTCAATATAGATTTAAACCCAGTAAATAATTAAGACAGAGGCTGGGGGTGGGGCTTAGTGGTAGAGTACTGCCTAGTGTATGTGAGTCACTGGGTTTGATTCTCAGCACCACATATAAGTAAATACGGTTCACTGACAATAAAAAATATGTATTTCCCATATAAAGACTTTATCAAGGAAATAGCGTGCCAAATCACATTCTGGCTTACATTCCTTCTTGTTGCCCACTGGCATTGTTGTTGTTGTTATTGTTTATTACACTACTATAAACTGATCCAAAGCATCTACTGAATTCCAAGTGTTATAGAATATCTTTTTTTTTAAGAGAGAGAGAGAGAGAAAATTTTTAAATATTTATTTTTTGGTTTTCGGTGGACACATCATCTTTATTTTATTTTATGTGGTGCTGAGGATCAAACCCAGCGCCCTGCGCATTACTGCTTGAGCCACATCCCCAGCCCATATAGAATATCTTATTGGACATGCCAAACACATTAAAGACCTGGCAATTTTTTTTTTTTTTTTAACCGATGCTGGAGATCAAATGTGCTAGGTCTCACAAGTGCTAGGCACACTGAGCTATACAGCCAGCCCAGGCCTGGCAAATTTCTTAAAATTCCCCAAATAATCTTCAGAATTATAGAAAGGTGAAGGGAGGTTTTTGTTTGTTTGTTTGGCTGCTGAAGACTGAACCCAGGACCCCTTGTATGATAAGCCCATGCCCTACCACTGAGTTACACCCCCAGCCCTGAGATGATGTGTTTGGAAAAGAGAAGATAAAATTTGTGGGAAGATTAAAACTTTTAAAAAACAGCGTGGTATGGTGGAAAGAATACAGATTTTTTACTTCAGTCCTTAATTAAAGTCACTGCCTCTCTCGCTAGCTGTGTGACTTTCTACTGTCTTTGTTTTCTTACAGTATCTGGGAATAATACCTATCTCCCATGGTTACTATAAGGTTTAAATAATACAATATGCATTAGAACAGAGCTGAGCATATAGTAAGCACTTAGTGACTTTGACTTTCCTTCTCTCTTTCTCCACAAAATAAATATCAGGCTGATCATCTCAGCTGCCCGCTCACACTCATGCCCCTCTCATTCCCTAACTGAGTGCAGTGAGTCTCTGTCCTCACCTATCTCAGCCTGCAGGATTTGTTGTGATTGGCAGACAAGAAGAAGGAACTTATTTCATGAAACAAAACAAGAGAATTGAGAAGGAAACCTGAGATTAAATCTGTACTTGGTGATGTTAGTATCTTATAAAAGTACACAGGTACAATCAAACTGGATTCTGTATTCCCCTTGCTATCACATGCTGGGCAGGGGAACTCACTTTTCTTCACTACTCACACAGTCATTTTTGCTGGTTGACATGGAAATTGAAACCATCTTGCGCACATTCTAGAAATACACATGCTATACTTCCAGAATGTAAATTAATGGCTGGGCTCTAGTACTGCCACACTCAATGTGGGTCTGGGTCCGGTCCTACATTATAGTAGTTTGACCTCAGAAAATTTTTATTTTTCTAGGCTTGTTTTCCTTTTTCCCCTTCAGTTAAAAGTTCAGTTCAAGGCCACCATGCTGTGTACCTCCAGGGTGTTGTTAGTCCAGAAACTATAACAAAACTTTAATGACAGCGGCATAAACAAGGTAAGTGTAGCAGCACACTCCTGTAATCCAAGCATCACAAGTTCAAGGCCAATCTCAGGAATTTAATGAGAACCTGTTCCAAATAAAAAATAAAAAGGGCTGGGAATGTAGGTCGGTAGTAAAAAGCTCCCGGGTTCAATCTCAGTATTGGAGGGGAAAAGAAAAGCAGCAAGTAGAAGCTATTTCTCATTCACGGGGCAGTCCAGTGGGCAGTCTAGGACTGATTCTTTGGCTCCATAATGTTGGGGATTTAAGGTCCGTGGTTTTATCAATCCTGTGCCTCTGCCATTCATGCTGTGTTGCTCTCATCCATGGGGTCCAGGATGCGAAATCAAAGTTAATCCAGCAGAGGAGGAAAAAATGAAGAGGAGGACGTGTTCCTTTCCTTACAGAGTACCATCCATATGTTCCACACATGCATTCCACTCACATCACTTTGCCATCCCTAGCTGCAGGACAGGCTGGAAAATAGGCCTTAGCAGTAGAGCCATGTGCTCACCCAAAATTCTGCATGGAAAAAAGAAATTGCTACAAGAGCAATTAGTTTTCTTTTTTTGTAAGGTTTTGTGAAAA